CTAGGGTTTAGGGTGTTAGGATGGGGGGGTTGGGTTTGGGGGCTTAGGGTTTGGGGGCTTGGGGTTTAGGGGTCTAGAGTTTAGGGGTTCCGGTGGCAGTGGAGTTCGAAAGCTGTCGGTTTCTAATAAAGAGGTTGAGTAGTCTGTCTTAGTCTTAGGTTTAGGGTTTAGGGTAGAGGGTTTAGGGTCTGAGGAAGTCTTTTTCTATGTTATTGTAATAAGACTCCAAGAGATGTTTCACACTTCAGTCTTATGTTGGAAATTAGGGCGTTTAAGCTTGTAATAGAATCTATGCAATAAGGGTTCTTTGAGGGGTCTTTCCCGGGGTTTATAAGTTCAATGGTCATGTACGGGCTCTTGAAACCGTTGAAAAAGGGGTCATTTACAAGGGTTCTACCAGGGCTGCTTAGGGGGCACGATAAAAATTCTAAACCCTAAACCCTAAACCCTAAACAGTGGATAAAGATTCTATGAGGATTCTACCCTTTTGCAACAGCCTTTCCACTTCGCCCGGAGTTGGAGCAAGCAGCCCTAAACCCTAAACCCTAAACCGTGGATAAAGACTCTATGAGGGTTCTACCAGGGCTCTATACCCTAAACCCTAAACAGTGGATAAAGATTCTATGAGGGTTCTACCAGGGCTCTGTAAGGGGCATTCCGAAAATAGGGGACCCTAATATAGTACCCTGAATAGTAGGATCCTTATTATAAGGACCCCAAAATAAGGTACCCCGTATTTTCGGAAACTCCCTAAACCCTAAACCCTAAACCGGTCTACGACGGTTCTTCCTTGAGCTGAGGGTTGAAAGCTTGGAACTTAGGGTTCGAGGCGCGGTGTGAGGGTTGGGGTCTGGCGGGTTTGACTCGTAGGGTTTAGGCTTTAGGGTTTAGGTTTAGGGTTTAGGGTTTAGGGTTTAGGGTTTAGGGTTTAGTGTTTAGGGTTTGCTGATTCGATGCATCAAACAAACCCAGGTCGTGGCGCGTTGTCAAGGGCATCGCGGCGTAGTGTCTGCACAGAGTCGGCTTCAATCAAAACTTGAGCCGCAGGCCTTTCTTTAGGGTTTAGCGTTTGCAGATTTGGCTTTGGGGATTGGGGTTCGTGCTTAATTGGGCTGCTCGATCTGCCCTATAAAGCCCAGCACTCCGACTCCTTTTATGCGTTACCTCGGTTTAGGGCTTCGAAAACCATACCCCTTTAATGAACTGAATCAGGGAATCTAGATAAGAAGTCCTCAAAAATGCAGGTTTAGAGTAGGCAATACGTTTGACACCCCGACTGGGGGACGAGGCAAAGTTCGGAGTTAGTAGGGTTTAGCATAATAGAGTTCACGGGTTTCGGGCTTCGTTAGGGGTTAGGGTTTAGAGTTTAGTTAGGTCCAGTTTTATTTGACCAGGGCCAGAAAACCAGACGACGAGAGCGTGCCCTGCACTCCAAAATGCGAGTGCGCCGCCGAATAGATCAGGAACACCACCAGCAGAAGGGTAACGCCAGCGCACCTCAGTAGAGCCCCCTACAAATGCTCAAATGCTCAAATGCTCAATCCACCCTTAGCCTCGTAACGCGGCCCAGCAATCAGGGGATCCTAACCCTAAGCCCCGAACCCTTAACCCTAAACCTGAACCCTAAAAACCCTGAACCTTAAACCCCGGAACCATTTCACCCCCCTTAACCCTACTTAACCGTTAAAACCCTAAACCCGCAAGCCCCAAGTTCAGAAATCCTGAGGCTTCCCGCTTAAAGTTTCACACCCTAAACTCAAAAAGGCTCCACGGTGTAGGGTTTAGGGTTCCCGGTTCAGGGTTTAGGGTAAGCCCATAATAAGCCTCAAAGGAGGAGCCCTGCACAGAAAGGTAGAAGGGGCTGGCTCCAGAAAGCTTTGAGTCTTTTGAGGGGAGCCTCGAGGATCCTGAAAAACTCTCAGGGAACCACGCGAAACCTTCCAGCCTCCCAACCCTAAACCCTAAACCCTAAACCCTAAACCCTAAACCCTAAACCCTAAACCCTAAACCCTAAACCCTAAACCCTCGACCCAGCACAACCCTTGTGAAATCCCGATTTCAGGATCCTCAGACCCTTAAAAGCACGACGAAAGCCCCGTGAAGTTCTAGTTTCCTGGATTCCCTTGTTACCCTGCAAGCCATACGAAACCTCCGCATGATTTAGGGTTTAGGGCATCATTTCCATGGTCCCTAAAATCCCGACAAACCATCCAACACCCAACACCAACCTTTGTAACATCCTCATTTCAAGCAAGCCTAAACCCTAAACCCCCCTTGTAAAGCCTTCAAACCACTCACAAAATCAAAAACCCTGCGCAACTTCCATGTGGGAGCTCAGAGTTTCGGTGAGGCCACAAGGGAGAATCGAGAATGCAGCGCACAGTTTAGGGTTCAGAGTTTTGGGTTCACAGTTTAGGGGTTCAGAGTTTTGGGTTCACAGTTTAGGGGTTCAGAGTTTTGGGTTCACAGTTTAGGGGTTCAGAGTTTTGGGTTCAGGGGACCACAGCATGTAGGCTTGAGTGTTAAGGGCTTCGCCTCTCACACTCCCACACAGGCTTTAGGCTTTTGGGTTTAGGGGTTATGGCTTCAGGTTTAGGGTTTGGGTTTTGGGTTTTGGGTTTAGGGTTTAGGGTTTGGGTTTTGGGGTTCAGGGGTTAAGAAGATTTCAAAGTGCAGGAACTTCAAGGCTCGATTGTTTGTCTTAGGGGCCGAGTACCCTAGCCTAAAAAAGGTTAACCTCTGGAATTATAGTAGGATTATATAAGCCCCAAAAGGTTAAAGGTTACCTACTCAGCCCCTAAGTTGTAGGGTGTAAGCCCAAGGAAGAGCAATGGAAGTCACCAGGTGAGCTTCCATGACCTCACGAAGCCTTTAGGGTTTCGGGTTTAGGGCTACCAAATCATGTAGATCCCTCGTAAGTAAATCCCTTAATCCTTGTAAATCTATTCGGAGCCTATTTCTTTATGCCATGTAAGCCACGTGTCCTTATTAGTCAGGGGTCTGCAGTAGCATGAACTCCAAGTCCATCACTTCGGCTTTGATTACGTTTGCTCTGTCAGTTGCTTCAACCCTACGTCTCGCCAACAAGCCCGTGACATGTCATTTCTACCAGGATTTCAGAAGGAGCTTGTAAGGGCTTCTGTTTCAATTCAAGAAGCCCCAAGCCTTGAATTGAAACATATAACTTATTGTTTCCATACACCCAACATCCGCGGAATGGCCCAACCCAAACCCAGGGCTCTAGAAACTCCAGACAGCTTGAACTCTGGAAACGGAGTCATTTCTGAAAGCCGCGGTACACGAGGATTGCCTGAGCCATTCCAGCTGTCGTCACTCCATGTGGCGGCGACGGCGGCTAATTACCCTGAAGTCCAAATATCTGTGGTAGATGCTTATAAGCTACAGACTCCAGGTTCTTCTGGCAGAGAGGAGGTAACGATGAGTACTGACATGGCCGCCTAAGACCAAAACCCTAAACCCTAAACAAATGCCCGCACAGATCCGCAACAACCAACACGTGCACCTCGTGTGCCCCACATGATCTTTGCTTCTACAGTCGACAAACCTTGAACGGCGCAACCAAGCATTCTCTTATTACCTAATTGAACCCTAAATCGAAACAGTCATATATACCTCTTCTCGCCGGGTCTCGCCATGAGTAGAGATCAATATGATTACCGCACACCCCAAACCCTAAACCTATCGGAGATGTCGCATTTCGGCTGGGGGGTATTGCTCCGCTGTGAACCTTCAGCGCGGCTTGAGCTTCAGCTTTAGGGCATCTGCGGCATCTGCGGCTTTGAACTTCATTTTCGCGTTTCAGGCTCGGCTGTTTCAGTGTCTTCTTCAATAACCGGGCGCAGAAAAGTTCAAACTTTCTAAGATAGACCAAAGACATAAGGCCAAGAAAGTTCAAAGTTCTCCCATTGGCTATCACGGTACTTGGTACCTTCGAAAATTGAGATCCTCACTTTGTTTCAGATACGGGCCAGAGGAACTCGAGAAACTACGGCGTCGGGCTTGTTGTCCCTAGAGGGTTTCGGCTTTAGGGCTGTAGGATTTTAGGGGTTTTTTGCCTCCTACTTAGCAAGGACGCCCGTGCCCTGCAAAGGGATTAGGGTTTTAGGGTCTAGGGTTACAAGTTTTTTACTTCAAGTTTTCTTTGGCCTAGGGTTTTGGAAGTTAGGCTTGTTGTCTAGGGCGTTGGGGTGCTGGTGGCTGAAAGGATGCTCCTTTGGGGGGGCTTTTGTGACGAGTTCTCCATTCTGAACAGCTTGGCGTGGCTTGTCCGGACAAAATCCATATTATAGGGGTATAAATACACACACACATATATATATATACACATCTATCTATCTAACCAATGAGAATAGCAGGATATGTTACATAAATATGACTATAAGTATAGAAACAGATACACATATCAATAAGAGAACAATACTATATATGAATATATATATATATATATAGATATAGATATAGATATAGATATAGAGAGATATAAACATGCAAAATGTATGTCTATACATACCAACAGCTTTGGAAATCACCGCCCCCGGGGTCTTCACTTTCACCATGTTTCTGCTCAGCTCTCGCTCGACGCGTCTTCTCAGAATTCTTCGGATTAAGTCTTGCCCTACTTGGGGGGCCCAGGGGACTTAGTATGTCGGTTATAAGTAGGGTTATAGTTGGGTAACTCAACTTAGGGCACTTATAACTCTACTTATAACCTATTTACTAAGTTCCCTGGGCCTCCAAGTGCCCTAAGGGTTTAGAACTACAATAGCCTACGTTGCTGTGCGGTCTTGTTCTCTTCCCCTAGTACAGAATTCATAGGGATCCTGAACGAAATTGTGGTCGTCCAAGCTAATATAGGGGCCTCAATAATTAGAGTAGGGTTTTAGGGCTCATTATAGAATGGATATAATAAGGAAACCCCAAAATAGTATAGGTAAGTAATTAGGCCCCTACATTAGACTACAGAACCTAAACCCTAAACCCTAAACCCAAAACCCTACGTTAGACTGCAGAAGGCGTTCTGTGGCGACGGAGAGCTCAATGGTCGCACCCTGCTCCAGCTCCGGCAACTGTTGCTCGGCAACCTCCCCAAAGAAACCAAAAATAGGGTTTAGGGTTTAGGGTTTGGGGTTTGGGGTTTAGGGTTTAGGGTTTAGCCTCATTGCAATCCTCAAGAGAAATGTATGGGGAATCCCGGCACTATGTGTCCTTGATCCGGTTTCCAACTTTTTACCCTAAGCCCTAAGTTTTTGGAACTCCGTCAGACGAGGCCTCTCGATTCACAAGCACTTGGATCGACTCTAGGAGATCTGGTTTCGGGTTTAGGATTCAGGGTTTAGGATTTAGGGTTTAGGACAGAGTTTGTCCGTGACCCGAAAGCCTTTAGCAGCAGGCTTCTCTCGCCCGGAACAGGAAAGCCTGCACTTCAAACCCTATATAGGGTGGCGGGTCTGCGATGCAAAGTACTACCCCTAAACCCTGAAACTCGACCCTAAACGCTTCAGTTTCCTAGATCCTTAATCCCCAAATCCTTATAATCGCAATATTCCGCAACCTGAGCATTGGAAGAGTCCCCAACTTGCCTAAACCCTATAAGCCCCATTAAATCCCTAAAAACCTAAACCCCCAAACCTGCGTTGCACACCAAACCCTAAACCCTAAACCCTAAACCCTCAAACCCTAAAGCCCTAAACCCTGCAAGCTCCGTACCCTGCCTCCAAAGGCCGCAAACCTGTAACATAATTATAGATACCACCTATAGTCTCCATTGTAGTTCCTTTTTTTGGTTTAACCAATTATATATTAAGGATTCTTTAAGGTATCCCCAAAAAGGAACTAGAATGGAGACTATAGGCATACCCAACTATACCATACTTTGCTATATCATACTATACTATACTATACTATACTATACTATACTATACTATACTGTACTATACAAGACTAGACTAGACTATACCATCCTTGATAAGGCAGCACACTGTAATATAGTATAGCAGTATATAGTTGAATACAATGTAATACATATATATTTCTAATACAAGCTAATGCAATCTTATACAACCCAGCATTATCAGCACTAGTGAATTACAAAGCAATACTATCCAATTTGCTCTGATCTAGAATAATATGACGCCACATGATAATCTGATCTAAACCAACAAAGTATAATCGAATCTACGGCCTTATTTGATATGAAGCAAGATACAGTAAAACCATGTGATATAACATTACCTGCGAAATATAATGTATTATGGACATATCATATAGCGCAAACAAACAGATCTGATGAGATGAGAACGTGCAATATCATATAGTGTAAGTTAAGTCAAGATAATATGAGATAAGATAAACAATTTCAGATAACATAACTACAACATATATATATATATATATTATATAGAACCCAAATCAACCTGTAATAGATCCCGTCAGTACCCCGGAGCACACACTCCAGGGCTCTGAGTGTCTTCTTGAACTCTGGAAACCTGCATGTTGCGCTGCATGTTTTGGGATCCTTGTTTTGATTTCCTGACTCAGTTCCTTGAATTAAGAAAATATTCTTTTCCGAGAAGGGGGGGTCAGAAAGGGTTTAGAGATTCTGTATGCCTACGCTAAAGTGTTAGATACTGCAGCACCGGATATTGAGCCCGAGTGCATCGCTTCGTGCACGCAGGAACAGAACCTTCAGCATCACCACAACCCTGACTTATGATACTGTTGGATGTAGGGCGAAGATGCACTCTAAGCACGCTAAGGGTCTAAACCCTAAACCCTATAAACCCCTTGCCTCGTAGAGACGCAGCGCCAGGGATTCGGGTCCATCTGCGCAGTCGAGAAGGCCAAAGTTTCTCTTCAGCGATACCCAGAGAGCCCAATACCCCTTTAATAAAGGATATGCCGATACCGTAAATCATAATATTAAGGCCCTTATAGTCTAAGGTATATTGCTATAATGGATGGGTATTGGGCTCTCTGGGTACATACAAAATTATTGCCTTCATGAAGCGCCCAACAATCCGGCTGCAACGCTGCAACAAGGATGATGGTAATAATAACAATAACAATAAGGCTAATACCAACTAAAAACAACAAGTAATGGTGATGATGATGATGATGGTGATCATTATCATGATCATGACCATTACGAGAATTCCATGTCCTGTCGGGCCACGGTTTGAAGTCAGGAGCTGTGCGGTTGTTATCAACCCTGCCCTAAACCCTAAACCCTAAACCCTAAACCCTAAACCCTAAACCCTAAACCCCCTCGCCTTGTAGTGTGGAAAACATTCTGGTGGCTGTCCTACAGTTCCCGACGCAGCATGATAGCCAGCGAGCACGTCACAAGACTGGCGGTCTTCATCACTGGTAAGGACGCTTGCGACAGCGAGGGCAATGCATGAGGACGGGGGATGAAGATAGCACAATCCAGGACGATAGTGACCACGGCGAGTGCAACGTCCAAGCCCTCGACGACTGCGACGACAGTGATGACCACATTGCCCAGCACCAGCACCAGCACCAGGGCAGCTAAGGTTTACCGTCGCTGAGACGCACAGCTTGATGCTCTGCAACCTAACCGCCTGAACCCTCCGGGACAGAAGCCGAAACACCTCAAACCACCTGAACAGCTTGAATGCTGGCCATAGTAGGGGATTCGGCTTTCAGATTGCGCAGATACGTGCGAACCAACTTAAAACAAAGACCTCCGCAACCCAAACTGCAAAACCCTAATCAGCCCTAGTCATCCTAAAGCCAAAACCACAAACTCGTGAGAACAAACCGCCTGGACGGAGTGTCTGGGCAAAAGCGAGGAGGAAGGGCAGCGCCAAGCCACAGCGGGCCTTTGAGCGACAAGCCCACAGAGCCCCATACTCTTCATGAGGTGATATAGGCTTTAGGGTTTATGGACGGTTTAGGGTTTAGTGTTTAGGGATTAGTGTTTAGGGTTTAGGGTCTAGGGTTTAGGGTTCAGGGTTTAGGGTTTAGGGTTTAGGGCTCAGGGTTTAGGGTTTTGAAGCTTGGGGTTTCGACTCTCACTCTCTCACGCATCAGGCAGGGATCCTCATAATGTCGTCACGCCTACAGATGCCAGGCACCACTGCAGATAACTGTCTGGTGCTTAGTAGGGAATGGGAGAATGGGTTATAGGGACTACTAAACCCTAAACCCTAAATCCTAAACCCTAAACTCTAACCCTTAAACCCTAAACCCTAAACCCTTATAAGGGGCCTTAAGGGGCCATCGTAAGGATCCATTCCCCCATTCCCTGCTAGGCACCAGACAGACAAACACGCATTGCTGAGACAGCAGAGAACTCACTAAGGCTCCAGTGGCACCTCACATGCCTCAGAGACATTACTTCGAGATGAAGCTACTCATGGGAAAAAGGGTTTAGGGTTACAGGGTTTAGGGTTGTAGGGCTTTTAGGGTCTAGTCACGTGAAACTTTTTCTAACTTAAGGTGTGTTACACTCGGGAATATTGGGTTTGAGGGTCTAGGGTTTAGTTTTCTGAATTTCTAGACAACTTAAAATTTATCCCTGAATTACAGGGGGGCCCAGGGTTTATAGGGCTTAAAGCTCAGGGTGTAGGGTTTCGTTCAGGGTGAAGGCGTTAAGGGTGTTTAGGGGTTTAGGGTTTGGAGTTTAGGTCTTTAAAACTGCATTCCTGTCTCCAGGGGTCGATTTAGGGCTCAGAGTCTAACATAGCGGCCTCTTACTGTACCCCAAAACCCCAAACCTAAAAACCCCAATCCCTAAAACCCTGAACCCCCTAAAACTCGAAGCCCTAAAACCCTGAAGCCAAAACCCTTAAACCCCCAAACCCCTAAACCCTAAATCCCTACTAGAGCCGGAGTTGGCTGTAGGGTTTTGCGACAAGGGTCTAGGATATGGAGCATAAGGAGACAGTGGCTCGAGATAACCCCAAACCCTCAGGGTTTAGGGTTTAGGGTTCATATTTTAGGGTTTAGGGTTTAGGGAAACCCCAAACCCTCCACCCCTGAACCTCTAATCGAAACACTAGGCCCTAAAACCGACCTAAAACCCCGTTAACAACCACTGTTCAGACCTCTACATTACCAGAAGAGGCTACTCAGAATCCGAAGCTCCGAGCCGTCAGCTCTAAACCCTAAGCTAACACCCCAATTCCCAAAAGGCCCATGGGTTTAGGGTTCAGGGGTTTAGGGTTTAGGGTTTAGGGTTTAGGAAAGCCCCCTCCCCTTTCCCAAAAGTTTCAAGATACTCCCAGGCCCAGATCCCAAAAGTTAAAACAACTGAAATCCCCAAAGTCTGCCCCTAAGCCGAACGAATATAGGGCCTTAGGAAGTTGAATAGGGTTTTGGTGTATAGTATCAGTATACTATATATAACTAACTTAAGGAACCACCAAAATAGTATTGGTAATTATTTAGGCCCCCTATAGTACACCCCAAATCCCAACAGCCCGCACACCCTAAATGGGTCTAGGGTCTGGGGTCTTCCAAATCCAATGAAGAAGCCCTGAACTACAAAAAGCCCCTACCGTAGGGCCCTTAAGAGTTAGAAAAGGGTTCTGTGCCCCTTTATCGTATAAAATAAAGGGCCCTAAAGAATAAATCTTGATAATTTCTACACCCTAAATCCCTAAACCCTCGAAGAAACCCTAAACACTCCACAGCAAACCCAGGTACCACCCACACGTTTGGCAGCACGAAGCCGGCAGCGGAGGCTGCCAAACCTAAGAACGACTGGGTGCTGTAAAAGTTGTAGTATGGAGGTCTCCATAATTAGAATGGGGGGGGTGAGGTCTATCAGTAGTAATATATAACGACGACGAGGGGATACCCTAGCTAATTATTCCGACCACTATATATGTATATTATGCTGGAAGCCTTTGATTCTTGCCATGAGCTCGTTTCCAAGTTTGGGATTTTGCCTTGAGTTCTGGTTTAAGGTCTTTGTCCTCCGGGTCAGAATTTCAGACCTAGCACTTTAAATCCACCTGTTCACGATTGTTCACCTTCTGGCACGTTAACAAAAGGGAACAAGAACCAAGGGTCCAAGTACCTAATAATCATGCACTCTCCAAAATCCTCGCCTACATAACTACTATCCCAAAACCGAGTACCTAATTACTGGGTCCTTTGGACCCTTAGGGGAAGGTCCAAGAGCCATCTCTTCAGCTTTGAAGACAGGGCGCCTGATATGTATTTAACCCTTGTCCCTAAACCCCTAAGCCCCTAAACCCCTAAACCCCTAAACCCATGAACACCTAAACCCCTAAACCCTAAACCTCTAAAGCCCTAAACCCTACACCCCTAAACCCCTAAACCCTGACAACTCTTTCGGCAGGCCCTAAGCCCTGGCCTCTAAACGCAAACTTCAAACCTTCAGTCCTACGACACTCCTACTTGGAGGTTCATGGGTCGTCATAAGTGGGGTAATGACTAAAGCAACTATACTTTTATCTCATATTAGGGGACTTCTAACCACACTTTTAACTACCCATGAACCTCCAAGTACAAAAATATCCAGTAAATCTCGAAGGCTCACGCGACAACTCCAACCCTTCATGAGCCTTTGGCTGCATTTAGGGTTTTTGCTTTGGGGTTTAGGGTTTAGAGCTTAGAGTTTGGGCTTAGGCTTTGGGAATTAGGATTTAGGGTTAAGGGTTTGGGGTTTACGGTTTAGTGTTTAGGATGTCCTTGTATGGCTCCTGAAAAAGGTATGTTGCTTGTGGTAGGCTTTATGCTATGCTTATTTTGAGACTGTTGCTAAACCCTAAACCCGGACCCGTCAACCCTTTCTCAGCACGGACTGAGGTGCCGGTCAGCGCCCATGCAACCCTCACCCCGTCTTAAAGCAAGAGCCCGTCAACCCTTAAACCAAAAACCCTAAACCCGGAACACCACACGCCAGAAACCCTAAGCTTACCCTACCGGCCTAACTCTTCCTGTCAAGGGTCATGGATTAGGGTTTAGGGTTTAGGGGTTTAGGGGTTTAGGGTTTTAGGGTCCAGCCGGGATTCCTAGAAAAACATGCCTTTTGTCGGCAACTCACACCTTGGAGCTCAAAAAACACACCGACCCGTTTAGAGCTCGGGTTTAAGGCTTATAGGGTTGGGATTCTAACCTCTTACACCCGGACTCGACCAGATGAGCTTATGCTCTAAAGAGCTGGTGCTCTAGGACGCTTCGTTTCGGAGATGGACGCTGGGGGTCTTGAGGCTCGTGTCCTAAAGCCTAGTTACGAACCCAGAGTCGTTCAACCCTAAACCCTAAACCCCTAAATCCCTAGGGTTTACGCTCTCACAACTCGGACAAGTTAGGCGAGAATCCGCAGTCGCAGGTCAGCGTGATAGGGATTTAGGGTTTAGGGTTTAGGGCCAAATAAATCCCCTTTTTGCATCATCCTAATAAATCCCTAACTCCTTAAGCCCCCTAAACCCTAACACCCCCGGAGCCTGAAGCTCTAAACCCAAGTCCAGACCTGCCATGCAAAAAGCGCCCTCAAGCCGCAACGATTCAGAACCCTAAACCCTAAACCCTAAAACCTAAACCCTGGGGCCCCATTTGGTTTAGGGTTTATCGGGTTTTAATAGCATGCCAAAGGCAACTTTCAAGACAGTTAGAGTATGGACCTTGAAGAGTGTTGGGGATGCCCTTTTAAGAGCATCTAACAGGGTTGGTTTTTCTGGGCCTTTGCAATTAGAATAGGGCCGGTTTGGGGGGTTTAGGGTTTACCGTTTGACTAGGGGTTTTGAGAAGAAGACAATTGCATTGGAGGACTGAGGTGCCTAAGCGAAAAAGCCGCAAACTCTTATTGGAGATGCCTGATTTAGGGGCCTCAAGCCTTAATAATTAGAATAGGGTTTTGGGGTACATTATACCATAACTGTACTAAGGATCACGCAAAGTCGTATTCTCATACAGTACAGCCCCGACGTTAGGGTATAGACCGCCGCCCCCCAACAAAAACAGTAGAGGTAATCATTTCTGGCCCCGCTATCAAGGCCCTGAGCCCTTTTGAACCCAGGCTCTGATCCTGTTCAGCTGGGAAGTAGCCCCTCAACCCTCAGGGAGGTTTACGTTGGGTTTAGGGTTTAGGGTTTAGGGTCTAGGGTTCTAAACCCCTGAACCCTAAACCCTAAACCCTAAACCCGAAACCCCAAAACCCTAAACCCTAAACCCTAAACCCTAAACCCTAAACTCTAAACTCTCAACCCTGAACCCTAAGATGCTAGAGCAATCAATGGCCGTTACGGCCAGTGGCACACGAAGCAGAAGCTGTGCAGATCATTCGCCTTCCCGGATGTGGGGTTGGGTTTAGGGTTTAAGGTTTAGGGTTTAGGGTTTAGGGGCTTACAACTTGCAGGGTCGGGGGACTTAGTAAGTGGGTAACAAGTAGACTTATAACTACCCTAATACGGATCGTACTTGGGGTTAAGGTACTTAAAACCCTGTAAAATAGTAAAGTAACTACTGACTCAGTGCCCGGACCCTCCAAGCAGGGTTTATTAGGCTTTAGGGGCATATCAGGGCTTAGAGTTTACAGAGTTGGGGACTTGGGCGAAGCAGGCAAGGATCCAAAAGCCTGGGTGATGTAGGGACCTTACAGGTTAGAATAGGGTTTAGGGCGTAGGGTTTAGGGCCCGTTTAGGGTTTAGGTTTAGGGCCTTTAGGGTTATAACATACGATAGTTATAGCAAGGAACCCCCCAAGCATTCATGCCCCTCTATCAGCACCGACCCAAGCTGACGACCAAGGGAGGCCGAACACGTCAGCCGCACAGTCAACGGCCAACACACTCAAGACCCAGCAAACCCCGATTGATCCTGACACTTACATCCCTTCGCCTCTCATGCACCACAGCAGATCGCTCGAGCAGCAGCTTTTTTTGCGGACACATCAGCAGGCAACTCGTGAGTGGTCAACGCCTCAGGCACTCTTCAGCTTTGCTTGTGCAAAACACGGCTGGCACGATTCTTGAGACACGTTGTATTCCAACAGCCTCTCGGCGAAGAGCTCCCTTGCTCCGTTGTAAAGGAGTCGGTCGACGGGGTCATCGTAGCCTTCAAGCGCAGAGGTGTTGTATTCGTGGTCCTTTTCTCCAGGAAAGGTGGGCCTGTCGTCCATGAAGTCCGAGGCGAGGCAATCACCTCCAAACATACCTCTTTCATGGTTGGGAGAGTCATAAACATCTAAGTTTCCATTCCTGCTTGACTTTAAGTACCCATCAAAATGACAAAAAGCCCTAAACCCTAAACCCTAAACCCTAAACCCTAAACTTTGACGAAGATACGGTGGAGGAGGCAGATGGAGAGGTCCCACTCCTCCACGACCCCAACGAAGGCGAATCCTTCACGAAGTCGGGTCAAAGCCTTGGGGGTTTTGGGTTTAGGGTTTAGGGTTTAGGGTCAAGAATTGTAGAACCCTTTAAGGATCCCTTTCTAGGAACCCTATTCTAATTATCAAAAGCCCTATATCCCTAAACCCTAAACCCCTACTTAGTTGCTGAGTTCATAAGCCCCCAAAAAAGTGTACACTTTCAGTTCTAGAAGGGATCATACAATCCCAAAAAGTGTAAAGTGCACGCACTCAGCTACTAAGAAGCTTCTTCCGCATCCGTTTCGTTCAAATCTCCACAGGATGCTGGAGGTGGATCCATGATACCATCTTTCATGATCTGACACGTCACAGCATGCGCCTCTGAATGTGCATAGGTGACGATGTCTTCTTTGCCCCACTTCCCATGCGAAAAAATTGCATCGGAGTAAGCGGAAGAGATGCGCTGGATCGGATCGCGCATCATGGTCACAAGGTGACCTTTGAGAAGCTCATACTGGTCTCCGACGCCCATATGTGTCATGTTCGGATTTCCCTGCCCATCGGTATTGCACTGGAACTTCCTGCCATCGCAGACCAGTGGGCAAATAGCCTCGAATTTGAACTCGAAGAAGTCACCCAGTACTTCTTCGTCAACTTGGAAAGAGTCGTCTGCTCCCGGGCACACATCAGGGAGATGGATCAAGGCATTCACGAAAGAAGTCCCACACTTCGGCGTATGCATCCACTTCAATGGCTGGGCAGCTAGCAGTGCTGGCGTCGCCGGCACCCCTGCCGCTTTTCCAATGCCGCCCTCTCTACTGAAGCTACGAGGGCTCATGCTTTCTTCCTGCGCAGACACCAGCTGCTTTGCAGCCTTCTTGAACATGGCATCTGCCACGAAGAAGATGCTGAAGAATATGAAGGCCCTGCCGGTTGTCGCCATGGTTTCTCGACAGGTTCCGTCAGGGCAAGGCGAATGAGTGAAACTGGGGCTGTTCAGTCTCGGAAGCCAATATGCTACTTTGGGACTTATAACCCCGTTTAGGGCTTAGGGTTTTCGTAAATTTGGGGCTCAGAGAGTTTGGGGGCTCCGAGGGTTCGGGGACCGGAGTCTGGAGTGCTTTGTGCCAGAGGACCTCGACACCCCTAAACCCTAAACCCTAAACCCTAAACCCTAGGCTCCGCCATTTTTTCGGGTTTAGGGTTTAGGGCTTAGGGCCCGAAGGCTCCACCCTTTTTTAAAGGAAACTACAGGTGGGGAGTTTAGGGTCGATAGGGCTTCTACAAAGCTTCTAAAAGGCATATAGACCTTCTATAAGGCTCCTAACACGGTAGCTACCCACCCGCAAATGTCCTAGACTTTTTCTGCAACCTGGAACAGTCCGTTATGAATTTTGGAGGGCGAACCCCCGAACCCTAAACCCTGCATCATGAGCCCTAAACCCTAAACCCTAAAGGCGAAACCTCAAACCCTAAACCCTAAAGCCTAAACCTAAAACCCTACACCCTCCTCAACCCCAAAAAGCTCAAAACTAAACCCTAAACCCTAAACCCTAAACCCTAAACCCTAAACCCTAAACCCTAAACCCTAAACCCTAAACCCCAAACCCATGCCCGCGCCCCTTGGCCTGGCGCTGGACGTATGGCTGGAATGACGCCAACGTGCTGGCCGTGACCAGAGCGACACCTTCATGAGGGTTTAGGGTTTTAGGGTCTTAGGGTTTTAGGGTTTAGGTTCCTAGGACTACTACTTACTTCCCCAATAAGCCAAGAGGAGATAAAAGGTTAAACTTTCAGGTTGCTACTAAGTTAGGAACAAAACGCGTAAAGGTTGGGTATTGGGGAACTAAGACTACGGAAATTGGGGATAACTTCCCGGGGCTGCCTGTGCAACCCTCCCTTCGGGCTGTAGAGAATCTTTCTGTGTTCGGTCGTTTAGGGTTTAGGGTGTTCGGTCGTTTAGGGTTTAGGGTGTTCGGTCGTTTAGGGTTTAGGGTTTAAGGTAGTTAATACGCAGAGAACATGTATAACCTGTCATGTTTGTTAGAACCCTAGATCTTAAACCCGTAAATCCTAAACCCTAAGCCCGAACCCCTAAACCCAAAACCCTAAATTCTACGCCAAAAAAATCGGGGATAGACTTATTCCGCGCGCTGGCGCTGGCGCTGGCGCTGGCGCTGCGCTGTGGGCATGGGGAGGATCGGTGCTGGCGCTGGCGCTGGCGCCGGCGCTGGCGCTGGCGCTGGCGCTGGCGCTGGCGCTGGCGCTGGCGCTGCGGGCCTGCCATGCATGGGCAGCATTGCTGCTGGCGCGCTGGCGCTGGCGCTGGCGCT